GACTTTAGTCTTTGCAACTTCAGGGATCTTATCTATTCACGAACAGCTTGTAACACTCCAAAGAGAAAGGAAAACTTGAAATCGCATCATATGACCCCTTTAAATCACAACCAATGGCAGCTGTACAATCACAATAATACAAAGCTATACTACCTCCACAAAATCTCTGAATTCACTTAAATGATTGTTTGGGTTGGACTAAAAAAATCCAAGTTTGTTCTGTCTAATATTTACATTTGTAAGTTTATTTCACGGAATTTCATAACCGATTAAGTTTGCAACCTTGACCCTGTTTTTTAAACTAAATGAATCAATGCTGAACTAAATTGAGCTGAATGACAATTTTCTTCTGTAGAGCTGCTTTACAGCTGAAATTATATTCGTTTAATAATTTAGGAATTTAGCAACATCAACACTATTATTTTATAGTTATTATTGTGAAGCTGCTTTGAAACTATATTTTATAAAGCGCTGTATAAATAAATGTGTCTCATCAGTCGTCAGCATCCTATCGTAGCAGTCTATCGCCAAACGTGATGGGTATGGCGTTATTTTAATGACAAATGTCGAGAGCGCATTATTGTAGCGCGAAATGCCATATTGCCGTCGGGGGGCGATGATCTCTGTGAACCCTTGAATCATGCGAGTTCATTGAGATCGAACTATTGAATCTGTCTATGGGTTTTACCTGATCTCGGATCAGTTTGATCAAGTTGTAGACATTTTTAATGAGACTTGTGTGTAATTAAAAGGATGAGTAGTAGTTAGCCTCTTACTGGCCTGTTTAAACAAGCCCTGCAAATGAATAATAATTGTTAAAAAACACATTATACAGACACTTCATGTTTAATTGTATTTTATTGTTTCAGTTGCATTTAATGCATTTACTTTCAAGAAAACATTTGCAATGGGTTTGTAAAAGCTGTCTTTGTCCTGTTTTGGCCTGAGTTGTTGTTGCATTTACACAATTTGACCAGCAGGCGTCACCAGCGTGTGGTGTTTCACGCTTCGAAACAGTGAATCAATTTGCATAGTTGGTTCAATTGATTCGAAGCTTCGAAAAGGTTCGTTTCAGGTCTGACGACATCACGCGGGCGTGGTTTAATCGCAAGGTCAAGGAGCATGCGCAGTTTACACGCTCCGTGTGAAGCCCGCGAACGTGTGACAGCGGCACGACCTGCGGAGATCTTGACTTTGTTTAATTTTCGCGCATTTCAAACAAGAATGATTATCACGTCTAACATTAAACAGTGGGGAAAGAAAAAAAAATAGGATAACTTCAAATAGGACTAAGCAGTGACCTTGAAATTTTGGAAATTGTAGGTTGATCTCCACTGTACAAATCTTTTGTGTTTTATCAACCTTTCTGAGAAGCTTAATAAAGCAGTTTTGTTTAAAATAGAAACCACTCAAAATCAAGTATGTTCCCTTAAAGAGGCATTTATTAATTTTTCACCAAAATGTGAAACTTGCACTCACTGGTGTCTTAACCAAAGCACAGGAAAAATACTTTACAGCTGGAAGTCTGAGTAATGTTGCTTCAGTTTGTGGTACACAAACTTCCTCATTGCCAATGCATGGCGTTGTGTCAGCTGTCTGGGATTGATGGTTCTGGTTAGGGCAAGAGCATTCTGGACAGATAAATTGAAAAGAATTAATGCCACATAAAAGATGTCCATTTATTTATTAAAAAGAAAAAGGGCTTTTCACATATGAAATAATGAAACCTGGGTCATTCTAAACCCTGGGTAACGTTAAAGGGAATCCTGGGTTTTCTTATTTCACACAGCACATACTTTATCCGGAGTTAACAATTCATCCTGGGTATTCATAAACTGTCGTTTCACACTGTACATTTATAACCCCCAGATTAACATTAGTTGTGTTCGGTTTGAAGTGGCACTGTGCAGACCAATCAGTTTGTGACATCAAAGTACCGTGAGAGTGATTCGAAAGCATACACCAAGCACACAATACCTGAGATAACAAGCACAAAACCGGAGTAAAACTTGTACTTTCACTCAACAAAAGTACTTCTTTCGCCGTTTTTAACATTTAACATCAGATCAGTCATATTTAAAGTGAGAGAAAATTAAACAAACCGTTGAGTACCAATGAGATCATCGCCGCTTCGCGGGCGTCACGGAGAGTGTAAACTGCGCATGCTCCTTGACCTTGCGCTCAAACCACGCCCGCTTGATGTCGTCAGACATGAAATACCCAGTATTTAGTCTGTGCCTCACTTTTTTAGTGCTGTTATTATCGCTTCGTCTGGGTGTTCTTGTGTTCGTTTGAGCTCTAGCACCCATCGTAAACCATAAGAGGGCGGACGTTAATTTTTTCGCTCAGTTCATTGGTTTAGACATAACGAAAACGAGGTTTTATGTGTGGTCGGTTTACACGTCAAGTGGGCGGGCTTTGTTGTTTCACTCAGTTCATTGGTTTAGAAGGCTGAACTTGTCTTTGGATGCGCCTTTTCTTTCGGCCAGAGGGCGGGGCTTGTTTTTTGTGCGTTGTACGAGGGCGTGCTGAATGAAACGCGGGAACTGGCGGTACTGATCAGTTGTGACGTGATTTTCTGTCGTCAGTATTTTTAAGATCAAATAATTGATTTTAATTCGTTTGATTGCCGTTTGGATACTAAAAGTACTCTGTCTATACAGCCGTTGTTTTAAGTAGATTTAGAGTGGCAGAATTCCCCAGAAAAGGGGCAATTTGACATGGAGTCTTTTCAGAAAGTCGAGAAGATTGGAGAGGGAACATACGGGGTTGTTTATAAAGCCAAGAATAAAATCACCGGAGAGACCGTTGCACTAAAGAAAATTCGGTTAGACACGTAAGTCTTTGTCATTACTTTCTTCTTTTTTTGTGTGTGTATTAGATTTTTATGTCATTAGTGTCTTCGGTTTAAATAACTTGCATACAGACACACTCTAAATTGTAACTTAGTGCCTCTAATGTATATTTTATATTTACAATTAATAAAACTTCCGTAATTTACGTGTTTTAGTACATTTAAAACGTACTTCGCCTCTTTTAGAAAGACGTTCTGTCAAAGCTGTTGCACTGCTGATTATAAACAACCTAGATTTACACAGTTTAATGTTCGTTTACAAACAGATAATGGCAAAAGTTTCACTTGGTTAACATGAGTTAATGCATAGGGTGTCATGAACTTTAAGTGAAAACTGCCCGAGCCTTCAGAGACGTCAGTCTTTTTGAGGGGTATTTCGTAAGCTGAGATGAGGTTCATTAGTCTATTAGTTCATTAGGTTCATTACTAGTTATAAGCAGATGTTTGTCTTAGATGCATGTCTTTGATTGACATGATTATTTGTTTGTTTACAGGGAGACTGAAGGTGTTCCCAGCACTGCCATACGTGAGATCTCTCTGCTAAAAGAGCTCAATCACCCAAACATAGTCAAGTATGTACAGTGTCTAAACATCTGTTCTGAATGAATGAATTTAGCCTCAAGTGCATAACTTGCGTTCACATCATAATGTAATGTCAAACTCAAAGTCAATGTACAACTGCCCTAATGCTTCTGGAGTCTTACAAGGGCTGTTTTCTCACCTACAGGTTGCGTGATGTGATACACACAGAAAATAAACTTTACTTGGTGTTTGAATTTCTTCACCAAGACCTGAAGAGGTTTATGGACTCGTCCTCTGTTGCTGGCATATCCCTGCCTCTCGTGAAGGTGAGTTCAATTGTGTTCAACAATTAATGCCGACTGCAGACCTGAATTTGGAAAAAGTAATTGAAAATACCTTCTATTTTTGTAACTTTTTGTTATAAGATTATTGATTAAATAAATTTAATCGATAATGTGAAGCTATTGTAAATATTGATTTTAGCAAAGGCAAGTGTTTGAGAGAATAAAGAGTCTCGTGGAAAGCCAGAATTTTAATAAACTTTTTTTTACCCCTGACAGTAATTTTTTTTTAAAGATGGCAAAGAAGAGTTACACAAAATTTATGAATTTAAATGAACACTATATCCTCAAAAAAGTTTTTTTATTGCTTGAAAGATTTCTTGATTTCATTCCAATTCACAAGATTGTTATTCTCTTTTGTTTGAATATCAGTTCATTTGTAAATATTTCAGGAACGTGTCTTTTTATTCTTAAGAAAAAATGCTGTTAACCCAGGACTCCATACTAACATTTGAGAGCAGTGGCACCAGCGCCACTAGTCTATAGATGGTGGCGCCAGAAGCAGATTTGGTAGCACTGGGGGGTGGTGTGTGGGGTACTAAAAAGAAAAATAATTTAATCATAAAATTATTATTGTTTTACATTAATAAGTGCAGTTCCTAATAATATTACATGTTTATTTCTTGGTAATGCACATTTACATTTAGTCATTTAGCAGACGCTTTTATCCAAAGCGACTTACAAATGAGGACAATGGAAGCAATCAAAATCAACAAAAGAGCAATGATATACAAGTGCTATAACAAGTCTCAGTTAGCTTAACGCAGTACACGTAGCAAGGGTTTTTAAAATAATATAATAAATAAAAAGAAAACAGAATAGAAAAAGAATAGAGCAAGCTAGTGTTAGAGGTTTTTTTGCTTTTGTTAATTGTATAATAAATGAAAAGAAAACAGATAGAATACAAAAAGATTAGAAAGCAAGTGTTATTTTTTTATTTTTTTAAAGAAAACAAGCAGCAAATGAATAGAGTGCAAATCTAAAAGGGACAAGTGTTTTCTTTTTTTTCTTTTTTTAAAGAATAGAATTAGAATAGAGAGTGCTAGACTTAGAGGGTCAAAAAAAGATGGAAGAGATGTGTTAATTAGAGGTCGACCGATTGATCGGCCGGTTTTTGGCATTTTTTTAATTAATCGGCATCGGCCGATTGTGCTGCAAATCAGGCCGATTTATAGGCAGGCGCATCTGCGGGCAGCTAAGCGTTGTTGCGGAGCACCCTATTTCATATATAAAAAAAATATCATATTTCGACATCATATATCGGCCATCGGCTGCCCTGATTTCTAAATATCCATATATAAAAAAAATATCATATTTCGACATCATATATCGGCCATCGGCTGCCCTGATGTCTAAATATCGGCATCGGCATCAAAGAATCAATGTCACATATATTACAGTGTGCAACTCATGTGTCGTAAACAGTTTGTGGTAATATAAATGAATTCAACTGGTAAACAGTGTCTGCGACAAATACTAATACAATGTAACAATTTAATAATGCAAATTACACTAAACTTACTTTGTCCATCACTCGTACAATGTCCCTATAATGCGAGCAATCGAGTGAGTTCTCCAGTCAGAACTGCTGATGCAACTCTCTGGCCAGACGAAACCAGCATGGCATGGTTTAATTCCAGGCTGCAACACAGGTCAGATTGTGCAGAGGA